TGCTGGCCACAATGCTCGCGTTTTCGTGTACATTGTTTTAGCCTCAATTTACGCCACCCCGCTGGCTAGGCGAGTAGGCCAACCGAACACAGCCGAGTAGCTAATTAGTTGCCGTGAATACTTTGCATAATTAATCGTAGCCAAATATCAATCCAATAAATAATCATAACTCTAATAAAGTAAATATTCCGCCGATCGCTCGCAGCGATTGACAAAACAACCATTCGACCACTTCCAGTAAAGTCAGGAGTTTTGATATATATATTGCAAATTGTTTGTTTAGCCATCATCTGGGCTTAGCACATTCATTCAAATCGCATCAAACCCAGTGAAAGAATTGCTCGTTCTGTCGCAAATGATAGGAGCGTATGTATGATTCATTGAAATAGTTTCAACTTTGGTTTAGCTATTAGCTCGAGTAGCGTAAGCAATTCTGTAATGTCCTCATTATCAGTTTTCTGACTTATAATAGTTTCATTTTGGTGGCACTTTTATTCGATTAGGTTACTTTTGTTGTCATTATTTCACTACTTCAGATCACCAATCGCCTTGCCGATACTGGAGCCAAAATATGTGGTTGACAATATAATGGAAGCGGTCTTAACCAACAAACCGTTTATGGCACTTCCAAAGACGTGCTACTTCCTGATGTTCTTGGCAAGGTAAGCAGTTTTCAGATGAGTTTAATCGGCCCGTTTGCATCAGTTTTCAGAAATTTCCAACAAAATCAGAAGCGAGGGCAGGAGAAATAGGAAGCCTCTATCAACTGAAAGTAAACTTGATTAAAGTGACCATCTATATTTCAGCTTTATGCCAGCGAAAACTGCTGATCTTATGCGTGATTTGTTCGGTGTCAGCCATACGATGAAGAATTTCAAAGGACGTACGAATAAGACCGAATAAACTGCGCTTTCATATGGATGAATTACGGCACTGGATGGCTTATGAAGAGATTCACTCGTACACTTCTCTCAGTGCTATTTATGATTTGATAATATTTCTGATTGATTCCCTTATGTCATCTTAACATTACTTTTAATTTGCTTTGAACATTTGCTTGATCTATTGAATACATGATTTTAACATTGTATTTTATTGAATTGCACTGATATTCGTGTTTTTATCAATAGATCTTCGTATTTTTATCAGTTCATCGAAATTTTCTGATCATATCAGAAGAACGGAATTTTTGAATCATGCGCACTTACGTTGTTAACCTGACGCTTGTATGTCTTTATCGACGAGTAATTATTACGCTCAATACCATAACTTTTTTNTTTTTTGCCTTGACGATGCAAACTTCTGCATGTTTGTTGATTGACGAACTTTGTTCCTAACTATCGATGGATTCATTCCTAGTTGACTTTTCAATGATACTAACCATGCAGTCAAAGGGAAGCTTTTTGCGTGATGAGTGGGAGTGTGCATTGTATTCGGACTCAATCGATTGTGTTTATGAATTGTTTTTGACGTTCTGAAACCTACTTCTACAAACTATCTTCTATTGTCTATGTTTGTCGTTACATTTGTTTCCTGTTTCATTCAGATTTGATTAATATGGTGTTGTTTTGTTAGTGTATAGTGCTTATGTTTATGAATATAGTGCTAATTGAATGTGCTTATGAATTTTTTTTTGGAACGTTTTTCATACCCTATTGTTGTTCATTATCACATTCAATATCTTCCATTTCATTCAAATTTCATTCATACATAGTGGTGAGGTTTGGTCAGTAGATAGTGGTGTAGTTTATTTCATAGAGTATTATTTTGTTGCGCTTTTGCTCTTAGTTATTTGCTGCTCTTGTTTTGTGCTTTGATCTGAGAACAACTCGTAGAAAATCGAAAGGCCTCCAGATCATGAAATTTGTAAAATTTACTAGTTATTCTAATTGGTACCACTTGCTTCTCTGAATTGCGGTGTTTTAGCAAAAATTCTCTTCATCTGATTCCTGACGTTTTCTGCTAGAGGTGTAAAGTGAAGATTTGCGGGAAAGCGCATTACTTTGATTTGCGGTTGTTTCTCTTTATCGGTTATCCAAGTTATTAATGGCATTATTATACATAGTATTATTATTACTATGACAATACATCACTATTGCTATCGTTCACGAATGTTCCATATAGAATTATTTCAACTTCGATCGGACGATAAAATGATACATTGATTTGCGTATCTGTTTTGTTGTTCGGATGTTAGAACTGCCAAATCCGAGTGCGATACGTAAAGCACATTAGCACTATCAGATGACAGCCTTTTAGATATACTATGATTCATTTTATACGTAAGACATGAAATAAGAGGATAGACTTTTGAATGCCAATGAAGTGTCTTCATCCTCTGGGAAACAGTGAATAGTACAATTTGAAAGCATTTTCCAACTAAGCTGAACTAGAAAATTGCTTTATATGGAATGTCAGCAAAAGAACAAAACTGTCTTTCAATGTTTCTAAAGATTGTATGACTTGGGGTCAGTTTGGGTGTAATTTTAGTGTAATATTCTCTAGTTCGTATACTAATTGTCTGCTGGAGAATTTGAATTCTTCCCAATGCAGCATTAGGATTCTACAACGATGAACAAAAAGTTTCCACGCAAATGTACAAATCAAATGTAAAATAAGGGATGTTTTCAAGATGCGATGTTGCACATGTGTATGTTTACTCTAAAAATGTCATTTGGTCAGATCAAACATACAGTCGTCGCGTATTGTGCACGTATTTTTGTGCTATCCATAATGGCGAGTAATGACACTGTGCATGGTATATGTTTATACAAAAGGCAGTTATGAATGTTCAAAAAACAATACTATTTCAGATGAACGCCCTGTAGTTCAATATCACCATCAATACATAGTTTATCGATGCCTTGAGCACTCATCCTATGCGCATATGATCCGATAAGGCAGTCGTCAACGTAGAACTGAAATTTGATTTTGATGAGATGAGACGAGATGGAGGTGAGTGATGGTATCCATCGAAATGCTTGAAATTTTTAAATTCTCATCCACCCGTCAGATCAACACTTCACAGCTCAGGCCTAATGGTACCAGAAATTTCCACAAGAAATATGCAACTGATTGTGAGGATTCCGTGAAAAATTTTTATAGATTCCGCAAGTCAACAACAAGGAGGATGAAAGTAATTTGTGACAAGTTTCATCACACGGCCTTTCCCTGAGACGTCGTCAGTGGTCAGGACTTGTGAGCCATCAACACGTTAGTAGTCAGTGTATTGTCGGCTTGTAAGTCTTGACCAATGAACGCTCGCCAATAGCGACTGCGTACAGTACAAGACTGCTATCCAAAAGCTTCGTCCTCTTTGCTGATTGGTTGGAATCTCTACAGTAGATTGGATGAACTGTTGCGCTATCAAATGAAGCAAACTAGGCAAAAAGAGCTCACAGTGAATCGATTTTCCTCGCAGTAAACAAGTAAGTCGAATGTGTGTTTCTTCTTAAACGGAAACGGTACTTCGCTTTCTTTTTCCTCAGTTCCCCAACGATCTTCACTTCGAGTATTTCGAACGATTTTCTGAAATTTAGTTCAATTATTCATTCATTCGTTGAGTTATCGTTGTGTTGCAAGAGTTAGATCGTTATTCATTTCGGTATTCTTCGATGAAGTTCCTCGATGTGGAGGACGGTTGTGTGAAATCGCAGATGATGTGCTTTTGTTAGTAGATAGTTTATTTCATTCATACAGTGGTGCTGTTTCGTTGCGCTGTTGCTATTGATCATTTTACTGCTCTTGTTTTGACTTCGATATGAGAACAATTCATGGAATATCCGATGGCCTCTGGACTAGGAATGTTGCAAAATTTAACTTATCTGAACGGCGACTTATCTGCATTGTGGGGTTTTTAGCAAAAATTGTCTTCACCTGCTACATGACGTTTTGAGCGCAACTAAAATGGATGAAATCAAAGACGGAATTCCCACTGACCCTTTCCGCAATTCGCGGATTGAATCTGAACGCAATATCGTTAGCACAATGAAAATCGACACTGAACTGCTTGGCTCGTTTCTTTAAGAGCGCCGAAACGTACAGTTTGCGGCCTGGATAGAAATTACCCGGAATATCGGCCGCATAAGGGGTTTGCTGAAAGTAAAAGAAAACATTTGACGAGTCCAGTTGATCTATGAGAATCTCTCCTTCGCTTTTATTCACCACCTAATCACTTGCTAATAACTTTTGTATTTAGTAGGGTAATAATATGCAATATGAAGCTAAAAATTCAACGTGAGAGGAGAGAATTTTGAGATCCGTAGAAAAATATTATCATAAATAGAAAAATATTTGCATAGGAATTATCCTTTCGAGGTTTATTTCAANTATTCCAATAGGAAGATTTCAGTTTCAGTTCTTAATAGGTGAATTTATTTGGTATGTTGAGATGTGATGTTATTTGGGTGAAACCTACATAATATTTTCCTTCCCATGATACCGTATACAGTTCAACGTCACCATTTATATAGATATGTGATATGTTCGTGATTGGTACGTAATATGCAAATTTGGCCAACAATTTATGCTCGATATAAATCTGAAATTAATTCAAATCATCAATTTGTTTGAGTCCTGGAAGAGATTCCTGGAACATTTCTATCTATTAAAAGCGATATTTCAGGAACATTCCATCCAAAAAAATGACAATTGAATGGGCGTTCATTGTCAAACAGCTTGCTGAGATCAGTATGTTTCATTTCATCTTGATAGTTTTGAAAATAGCTTCCCATCCGCTAGAATTCATCCATATAGCAGGTGAAATGTAGCTTTGGAGTCTCTACTTCTTAAGTGATAAGTTCGCGTTCTCTATCAGTGGAGCTGTCAGGCACCCATAAACAGCTCAAGGTCATATTGTTATCAGAAAAATTCAGAAATTTTTCCACTAATCCAGTTAGAAATATTTCGTTACCTCAAAGTACTTCTCATGTGCTCGTAGTCGTATATCAAATTCATCGCCTGGTGACCACTTATGCTTCAGCGATCCTTCACTGAAAAAGAAATACCATTTTCAACGCATAGAAAAATTTCTTGAAAAAAATAGTCACATTCTCAAGTAATATTTATTACATTTGAAGAGCATAAATTTCTGGAAGTTTCATTAGTTAAGGAGAACAGTTTTCTAATAACTGCTCATTCCCATTCGATTGATCTTCTAGTAGAGAGTTATGTGCTGTGAGAGTGAAGTGATATTTTGATGTTGTAGTTCCTCGATGTAATTATATAAGTGTTTGAATTAAGATTTGCTATCGGAATCAATGAATACTGATGTGATTGATTGTACGATCACCATAGTTCAACTGGTACCACTCTCTAGTGGTTTCAAAATTCATGGTCACTTCTAGGAATTGATCGATGATCAGATCAGAATATCTGATCTTATCGCTGATCACAATACGAAGTAATCAATCAATCAATCAATCAACTGTTCAATCGTACCGTCCCCACTGTCCATCAATACAAGCGTTCAAGAAGATACGTTTCTGGGTCATATCGGCTCTGATTACCAGAAGGCGATTATCAAGTGTATCATTCTCGTCGTCTATTTCCACCTTGGAACCATCCGTGAGATTTATTATAAACTCATTTCTACCTGAAAGATTTCGTTGAGTTCGTTCCTCTTTTATTGACTGGATTATGATTGGAATTCAATGACATTGCATTGAATGAGAAAGGAAATTTTCTAGTGTTCTGTGGTGATTTTTAATTTTCGTTTGTGTCGTTCTCAAAAGAATAGTGTTGACTTTTTCATTGAAAATGAACAATTCAGATTGAAAGGGCTATTTTGGAAGGGTTTTTTNTTTTTTGAACAATAAAATGAGTTAATAGCTGAAAATTGTCGGGAAATGACTAGGAATTTCAGGTGGAACTATCTTACCGAAATTGATTTCTCTCGGTTTGTCTTAACATAATGAATGTTCTAAACATAACATATTTTAGGACTATATTTGCTAAAATTGTTCGTGTTCGATTCATGAACGTACCAATTATATAGCCTCGAACAATCAAGGATTGTCCTGGTTGTAACTGATTTCCTTCCAATTTCGATAAATAAGGCACTGGCTGAATTGAGAGGATTTCAGGTTTATGGAATTTTCAGATTATTTCATTACGTTATTTACTTATAGATTCGTATTTAGCAAGTTCAAGCATTCGTTCATGAATCTATATATGTTTTTGTTTGATATCTTGTGATTCTTACAAAAAATCTTCAATTTGTTCATTCCAATTTACGATTTCAAATTTGTTTCAATTTGCTGGCGAATCTCCTCGTTAATGCAGCATTTTCCGATATTACTGAATTACTTTTACTCCTTGGATTTCTCGCCCCTTTTTTGTTACGGTCAGGTTCAATGATGAGAAATTATTGTTGAAAATGAGAACGGAAACAAAAGTGAATTTATAAAAATATTAGGAAAATTTCATGAAATTTTCGCTTGGAATCAGCTTGAATTTTTCAGGAACACGAGACAGAATTGAAAAGATTGCACCTACAAAGCTGTTATTACGACCCGTTATCGAGTCTTTTTGGGTCATCTTCTTCGTACGGTCACCAAACAGTTTTCGAATGAATGAAGTCATCGCTTGGCCACGTTCCTTTCCACGATTCCGCTTCACTAGTATTGTAAGTTTTCCCTATTTGCGAGGAAAATTATTTGAGTGAATATGAATATTTTATAGTCTTTTTTTAAAATTCGATCTGAAATAATGGCATCAAAGAAATTTACCGTGCACTTAATAGATTAGTATGAAAATATGCGCGAAACAGGCCGTAACTCAATGAAAATTTGACATCACATCGAATACTTTTGCTTTGTTCAAATCAAGCATTGCAACAGTTGACTGTTATCTGCTGATTACAAATGACTCCAATTTCTCTCAAAGTTAGGTTAAAATTCACGAATGATGAGATTTTGATCAATAACGAATCGAGTCTGCACACAAATGCAGTTTAGCGAGCACAAAGTTTTCAAAGCACATCGCGATCAATATAATGTCAACAAGTGATGAAACTATTCACGGCACTAGAGAATATGATTTGTTGGGCAATTGAAAACTTTTCAAGACCTCCGAGTGCATCCTGATAAGAAAGTCTAGAATAGTTTAAGATATCTTTAGAGTATTCAAATCAAGCGCTGTGTTACAAATATATTACACACTAACACGCGAGTGCGGCCCGGTTAGCTCAGTCGGTAGAGCACCAGACTCTTAATCTGGCTGTCGCGGGTTCGAGCCCCGCATCGGGCTAATTTTTTGCAAGTTCATTTATCATATAGCAATGCTAAATAGAATGGGAAATTTTTGAAAGCGTGCAAATTTAGCTGATTTTTCAATCGGATTTACAATTTTTTTCAGATGCTGTGAGCACAACGCGTTGCTATCTATGTAACTATCTTCAATAGCATTTTTAACGAAAATTAAGCAGAAATTTCTAATAAGCGAACTTTAAAATGTTTTAGTGAACGAAATGAAGGAAAGTATCTAAAAATTCATCGCGAAGTCAAAATAAAATAGCTGCGCGTATTCGAATCGATAAAAACACTAATGAAATAGGTTTTTACGAGCGTTTTGAGGATATGTTTTTGCTCGAAATCATCTCCTATCTGATTAAGTGGTACGACGAGAAGTCATTTGAGAAGACTGCAAAAAAACCAAATAGAGGATGCAATTTCGTCGAAAGTGCAAAATTTATTATCCAGTTCACATACAACTCATACCATTGAAATCAATGCAACTCCATCAGCTTTTATTATATGGTGTCCTTGGAATTGCTTTTTTTGGAATTATGCGTTGAAAGATACACGTTAACATTGCGATATTGTTATACAGGATACTTTTATATATTTTGAACTGCGATTTTAGATTTCCAGAACTGCATTCAAATGTAGCCATTTGACCATATTACTATTTTGAGCATGACCATTTTCATTATTGTAGTGGTCATTTGCGATAAGTCTGATGGTCAGTTTCGACCAAAACAGAGGTCAGGGTCAGGCGGAATCAACCTTGGGAGTTCCCGAAGTTGAGGGTAGGAGCATGATCGGATGAGGCTCTAAAAACTTCTCCCTCGGTGGCCGTGTGTATCGACGGTCCTTGACCCAACCCTGGCTTCAGTAATACGCTTCAACTGTGCAAATTAGAATGGTAGCGGAATCTAGAATAGTTATAAATGCGAATATTGACAATAACTTTGAAATCTCAAAACCGGATTTTGACTTGCATCATTGTGGCTTCGAATGGCTAATTTTTTCAATTTTGACCTTTTTTTTCCATTGGCAATTATTTATGAATTTCATTAAAAGAGGAGACTATGACATACGTATTGCTGAATGTGACAGATCGACTAGAAGAGTGAGTGATAAATGAAAAATGAAAAGTAAACGAACAGAAAATGATTGTCATTTTTTGAAAAAAAGAGAGCACTTTTCCTTCCAAATGAAAAAAAANAAAAAAAATGAATTTCCTGCACACTCCAAACAGCACTTTCTCACGTTCGTTACAAAGCAAGAGTAAGTAAAAACTAAAAAGCGCACGAAACAAAGTGCACGAAAATTGCCCATTTCGATCCATATAATTTAAATGAGAATTTTCCATCAAAATTTCAGTTTCGAGGCAGTTTGGTGCACGATTTTCGCTCGATAGGTTCAAATTCATTAGTTGGTCTCATTGGAATTGATTAGTTTCACTTTCGCTTAATTGAATTAATGAAATGATTAACGCTGCGAATAATTGAGCCAGTTGAAGTGATAATTTCTTGATTGAATCAGAAATTCACTGATGCGCATATAATTTTATTTAGTGATGCATTCAAAATTGCGATTGAAACTTTTGACTGCACCAAAGAGGAAAAGAGCTGAATCGTTCGCAAATGAAACGTTTTCAAGTGAGAAAAACTTCAGAAGAGTTAAGTCATCGACAATGGTGTTTTTCGATGATTTATTCTAGTGGTGAGCTGCTCATTTTTAATACTTTATTTCACTCTGATTTTTTGTGACGAATACAAATAAAAAGATATTTCGATCAAATGAGATGAAAATATCAGTTAACAGCAAAATTCCTACATATAGAATACACCACCTTATTAATTTTTTATAATAATAGCAGCGAATAATAATAAGACAGTAAGTGACATTTCATAGTCATCGTAATATTTTTGATGTTCTTTTCATCGTTTGGATAACTGCTTGATGAGGAAAGAGGACCTAAAAAAGGATCTGACATCCGATTTTTTCGATTCAGAAGAACTGATGGGTTGGTTGAGTTCCAGATTTTGGTATCGTAAAGAATGAGTGGAATGTGGGTGCAACAAATGCAACAAATCCTAAACCGTGAACAACTGAATGACAAAATTTGAAAGTTTGATGAATACCGAGGCTATGGTACGAGTTTTGGTTGGCAAACACACAATGGAAATTACTCACAATCAATTGAATGCCGTCACAAGAAATCAAAAGTTAGTCAAACATCAACTCTAAACATTCGAATGAATGCATTCATTTGAGATTTATCAATGTAGCCACGAAGTGCTTGTCTACTCAAGGTTTTGTTCATTTCAATACTTCACTAGATATTCCCATATTCAACCAGTTTAGAGGGAGAATATACGCCCCCTCTCATTTCCTACGCTAATCGACCTCACTGTCGTGAACGACTCGATTAAGTTTTACTGCAAACCAGCTAATATTCATGGAGGGAATATTCATGAAATACTGAAGAGAATGAACTTTTTGAATCGATAATTTGAAGGGAAATGAGCGATTTCTCTGCATCAGTGATCGATGTTTGAGTGAAGTTAATGAGGATACATAAAAATGCATCGTATTTAGCGAACAAAGAACAAAATGACGATGAAAATTTGTCCGACGAACGAAAACGCGACTCGGACTTCACTGCGACGACTCCAACAACGTAGAGCAACTTCCGATAGGAATGTTCGATTGATTCGATGTGATAACTATGTTGATCAACGACGAGCAAACAACTACTATCGTGAAGTACGTGCGCTGATCGATTCAAGATGAATCATGAAACACAGTGATGGATGAAAAGGTGAGTGATTCTATGACTTTACAAATAATATTTGGTTTTGATTGGTTACGTTTTCTGTTGCTTGTTCTGCGATGTCTTCAAATTTTACATTCGCTAACTTTGTTTTGTTGTATTCATTTGCTATTATAGTTGCTTTTGGGGCTGTATTCGCTGAAGTGTGTACGGTTTCTTTTTTTTTGCTGCAGCCAGAACGAAATTTTTGTATTTTCACTAGGTTTTTATTTCTACTTGATCTGAGCTTTTTTCGTTTTCCTCTTGCTCTTCACCATGAATTCAGTAGTCGTTTTCTCAGATTATCATCGCGTTCATGTATCATAGAAGAATATTCATTTCTTAATGTCCATCGTCTTACGTGATTAGTCACAAAGATTTCTTTCTGTTTCATGCATGCATGATAAATGCATGTTACATAAACACACACACACACACACACACATAGATAGGCACGTACAAACACTCACATACGAACGTATACAATCGAAAACATTCAGAAGACATACGCAATTGATTCATCGTTCTATTAAATTCATTCTATTCGATTAAATTTATTCATAGGAATTTTAGACGTATGCTGTTGAAATTGATAAGAATTTAGATGATGCAATGTTGTTTCGAAAAGACGATGAATCCTTTCATTTTTTTCACTCATATCGATCGAATTGATGCAATTTTTCAGATGAGATCACTTGAGTTCACTTCATTTCACTTGAGTTCACTTCAAAGCGATTTTCGCTGAGTTTTTGCCGACATCGACAAAATTGATAGACTGAGCTGGAGAATCGATTGACTGAGCGGATGAGCTGACAATGAGATGAAGAAAGTCATAAGAAATGAAAATATTCAGCTGATTGTTATGCGATCGGAATAGAGCTGGTTGCAATCACAGCTATTGATGCGCACAATCATTCTATTTCTTTGCAACTGCGTGAAACCATCTATTGACTGCTTTTTTGCAATCCTCGATTCTAATGATTAGTTGAAAATATTTCGTTGATTTTGAAAATGGAGTAAATTCAGTTTCTGGAGGAAAGGCTTCTCGTCGATGTGTGGTACGACGGGAATATTGGACAGGAATGGAGAATACGGCGATTGGCTCTAGGAACTGAAATATTTAAAAAATTTGGGATCTGGACAATTTATTATGGAAAAGAAGAAGATAGCTATGAAGAGGAACAGAACTGAAATGATCAAAGAGTGTGGAATTTTTCATGGCACGAAATGCGCAATGAAGGTATGCGTTGACTCTCACAATGATATATCTTTTGCTTGTTCCTCCATGGCAACCAACAAAATTCGATGCCTAAACCGGATTAAGATTGCAGATAGTAATGTACAGCTGAAACAATCATCAGGAGAGGAACGAACAAAAGTTATCGAGTAAAATGGATAATACGGATTAGTGGGATTTAGTTGGAGATGCATAAAATGTTGCCGATTATAATATGAGAACAAGGTGAGAATATTGCGGTCATGGAATTTGAAGAATTGCAATGACTGTGACGAACAGAATCAACGAACGATCTGTTGAAGTG